CCTTCCCATGGAGAAGACAACTTAGGAGACTTCCCTTTAGTCTTCCTGGGATTATACAACCACATCTTGTCTCCTGATTCAAGGCTGACTTCAGTAGATCTCTTATCATCAGATAGCTTCATCGAATCAGCAGGCGTTTTCAAGTTTGAACGCACTTGATGGTGAATATCATCCATCCTTTTCGATAACACTTTCACAAACTCTGACACATTCTCAGGCAACTCTTCATAAGGTGCGCATCCCTTATGCTTGGGTCCCCTTTTAGCACTACATGTTCTGCAGGTTCTGCACTATTCTTCCACATCTTGCCTCATACCTATCCAGTAAAATCTTTGGCATAGGTGACTCAATGTCTTCTTAATTCCGAGATGTCCTCCTGTTAAACTATCATGGGATTGACGCAGCACAACTTCCCGTAACTTCCCGGTATAACTGTTTGCCAAGTCGTCACTTTCCCATCTGTAGTTTCCTATCTCCGAACAAGAATACCATTTTCAAGCTTTAACTGGTCTCATTGTGCCCAATAGTACTTTGTCATAGGGCTTAGATTAGACATCTTCTCCCAAGCAGGGCGCAAAACACTTGCTTTTAAAAAATCAATTATTGGCTTCAAATCTTGATCTTTCTCCTGCTCTGCTTTAATATCGATACCTGGTTCCACTTCGTCATCATCAACTTCTTCAGTCATTTTGACTTCACCGTGATGGCACCGAATTAGTTCAACCTCTCTTTTAACAGTTACCGGAACTTGGCCTTTGTTATTCCCAAACGTCATTTTATCAAAATCAATTACAAACTTCCTTGGTAATAGATAGTCCAATCCTAATATGCATTCGTCTTGAATGTCAGCCAAGTATACTTCCTGTCTGTCCTTTATGCCCATGAGCTCAATAGTTACCCACACTGGTCCCCACAATCTTGTAGAATGTCCTGTCACGCCACAGAGCTTCTGTACAGCTTCTGGTACTCCTTTGTTATCCAGCACCTTGATGCTCACAAGGGTTTGCTGAGACGCAGAGTCTATGACAAAGTTGCACCTTTGGCCGTCCAGCTTTCCTGTCACATAGACACTGTGTGTGCTTGGCATTTTACACCTAGCTGTTGGGACTTTCATGATGGGGTTGGTGGGCATCA